GTGGGGGGGGGGGGGGGGGGGGGGGATAGTGACTACAGAGATTAGTAGCTGGAGTGCTTGTGTCAAAGAGGCAGGTGAAAGGATTAAAGGGTGAACAAGCTAATTACTCTGGTGTCACTAGCAGGAGGAGGAAAGGATGTTGACAAAAGGATGATGACAGTCACACCAGATTTTATTCATCTTTTCTTTGAAATTCTGTATGGGGGAAGGGGAGGAAAGTAGAATATTTAATTTTATTTAAGCATGGGTGAAAGGGACGGATCATTATTTCCATTACCTGAAAGGCCACAGTTTTTACGGCTAAGCGAGAAGACATCCTCACGTACACATGCTTGCTCATGTAATGGAAATCAGACAGCTGTGCAAACGGCTGTTACAAAGGCTCAGCAAGAGGAAGTGTGTGTCATTTCTGACCACTTCCTCATCAAGCAAGATAATTTATCTTCAGAGGCAAAGGCAAAACCTTTAACAACATTATAGGATCTCTGCAGTTTCTCAAGCAATATTTAAATGGCTAGGATCCCAATTCTGCAATGTGAGTGCCCAAGATCAGTCCCATACTGACATTCCCTGGGCAGTGGGGCAGCTGAGCACTGCAGAGAGGGCCCCCTACTGGCCAACAGCAGCCTGCCCTCCAGTGACATGCTGGAAGATCCGACTTTGACCTACACTAATCTCAGGATCCAGCTTGCTCCCTTTCGTCTCCAGCTTCGCTAAAGCCAAGCAGTCGTATAGGATGTGCACGCATGCACGTACTTGTAGTTTAGTAGCCTTCAGAGGCTACTGAAGAAACCTGTCCCAAGAAACTTGTTCACTGTCTCAGCATTTCTTCAGATTCAGTAAGCTAAGGGACAAGCTGGAAAAGGAAGAGCAATTTCAACAAGCTGTTGAGATTTGCCAGAGACACGATATTGATTTGTTTTCTGTTGACTTCAATAGCTTTGTGTGCCTGTTGGGCAACAAAGTAAATATGAAATAGGGAATTCAATACAGAAATTAAATTACTGGAATGCCCTCACATTTGGAGTATCAATTAGTGTGGATCTTTTGCCCTAAATAAAAGACCTGAGTGAAAAGCTTACCAGTGATCCCCATCTCTTGGGGGCACTGACATATTACAGGAAATTTAGATTTTTTTTTTTCTTTATTGCCTGTAAGCGCAAATATCACCCATCATGTCTCATTCAGAGAAAACTCCTACTGAAGTCAGAAAAGAACCTTAATCATAGTTTTAATTCTTGGACTGGAAATTTCCAAACCACTGCTTTTTGCCCACCACACATGTATATTCACTTTGGAATTTTTATTGCCTTTCTCACTTGATCACAAATAATCTTAGCTGGTTTCACTTAAAGTGGTATAAAGCAGAAGGTAATTTCCCTAAAATCTCTAAATTAGGTCACATTCTTACCATGACATTTTAACTTCCCCTTAGCACTTGTGTTATTAAATGTATGAAAGCTGAGTATTTCTAACATATTGAAAAGGAACTCCAAACTATATATTTTACAGAAAGGATTTTACTGATTTATTGTGATTTTGGAATAAAATGGTAATTGGCTGGAAGAAAAAAAAAACACAATACCAAATCAATTACTCCTGACCTTCACCCAAGAGACAATACTTCCTTTTAAAAGGCAATAAATCATGCCAGGAGCAAAAGAAAAGTATCTTTTTATCTCTTTAGTAGGTGAATTTACATCTGAATATACATTTTCACTGGCAGTAGTTTATAACCTATTATAGTGTTTTATTCCTAATTTTTTATCTATGCAGCATAATTAGTTTTCAGATTGTTCATAGATGGGTATGAGGCATAAAGCTCCATAACAATTATAAATCAACTTAGTAAATAGTTTTCTATCCCTTCCTACCATTATTAATTTTCACCATCAAGGTATGAATATCTTGAAACCCTAAAACAAGCCTCCAGTAGACAAAGGGCCATTTAATAATGGGGTTATTTTCCGCCTAACTGTAAATCTCTTTTTCTCCTGCTGGGAATGAAAGTCTAGTTCAGAGACATATTAATCCTAGACTTGTAATTGAATCCATATTGTGGTCTGCACCTGTCTGTTGCCTAATGACTTCAGGGACCATGTGGATAAGGGCTTTATTTGTTGTTATTTAACCAGGAATCAGCGCATATTGATGAGTTGATAATTTTATAGTTGTATTTCTTGTATTTAGAACCTGCAATAGTCACCTTTATACAATTAAATCAAAATAATCAATATTAAAGTTATGATCACTGTAGCCAGTCATTGATCATAAGCTTATTCTAGATGCTTATTAGTTTAAGCATGTCAATGCATGCTAGGAACCTCTCAACCTTTTTAAAAAAAAAAAAAAATCAAAAATAAATTAGACAGGGTAAGTAGTATAACATCTGAATCTTGTTCTTTAGTCCTACATTACTAATATTCTTGCACAATGCAACTTTAAAAGAAAGTGATGAGATAGAAGGAGAGATAAGATAGGCAAGAGAACTCAGAAAATTTAATGATTTTATTTACTCTACTACTTTTGTAAAAATTACTTTAACACAAAAACTTTTTTATGAGATGTTTCTTTAGAATTTAACTATAGTCCTTTTTATTACAGTATGTTGTTTCTCTGTGTTAAAATTTATTAGATGCATTTCTCTTTTTGTATTGTAGGTAAATCAAGGGGGGAAAAAAGCAGTGGTTTCAGTTCTTTGTGGCTCATGCTGGAGCTCTTCTGTAGGCTGTATGTTGTTAATGCTAATCGTGATAGGGGTTTTACCTCTGACTGACTCCTACATGTTAGCATTAGCACTGTATGATGCCTGTTACCAGAATTCACATGGAAAAAAAACCCAAAAAAACCTGCCACCGTGGGAGGGAAGCAGCAAGTATGAATGAGTCACTACTATGCTGGGAACACCTCTCCTCTGCATGTAAAAAGAAGGGTTGTTTCAAATACAGGCATGTTTGCTAAAATGGAGCAGTTTAGAAATACTGGAACAAAAGGAAAAAGCAGATTCATGCATCAATTAATCTTTAGCAGGACTACATTTAAAGTTCAGCACCATACTTTTTAATTTTACCCTATTGCCATTCACATGTTTGCATTTTCTTCCCACACAAGTCACTTCATTGCTTAATCTTCCCCTTCTCCAGGGCAGAAAAAATGATGAATTCAACCTTTGGCATGCCCAGCTGTGCTTTCTACACATTTTTATGAAATGTTTGTTCACACAGGAGATTTGACTAACAGAAAATATTTTAAACATGACTTTTATTGTTGAATATTCAAAATGTGCTACTTTTGTTAGAACATTGGGATGAAGTACACCTACTCTGGGATCTCAGCTGCTCTCAAACCTTATTGGAGCCTCCCAACCTGTTCATTTGCCACAATTACAATGTTTTGCAGATGGAGAAAATGGGGCACAGATATGTTAAAGGTATAGTCAAACAGAAAGTGAGTGACAGAACCAGTCTCTCTTACTCCCCAGTCTGTTTTACTGAACCTGATTAAAACCCCACAAAAACATATATTGGGCACATCTACATGAGACATTTATTGCAGAGCTGACTAATTAGTTCTGCAGTAAAGCCTCCACATCCACACCTGGGGCCGTATTGCAGCAACCATCAATCCTCCTGGATCATGATGTATGCACGAATGCCACCCAGACCTCCGATGCATATGCCTGGGCAGGAATTTTTGGAAGAGTGGAGGCTGTCAAGACCTTCCATCTTCCCTTTAGGCCACTGAGACAGAAACCAAAGACCAGACTGAGGCCAAATGTTTGGTGCCTCCATGGTTGTAGTTCTCTGTCAGGGAATCAAACCCATGTCTCTTGTGTGGTAGATAAGGAGTCTACCACTGAACCACAGAGCCTTATTAGACTGCAGTAAACTAATAAACTTTGCCACAGGTTAATACTTGCAAAGTTTATTAGCTTACTGCAGCCTAATACAGCCCTGAAGCTCCCTGTTGTTCAGTGGTAGAATCCTTCTCTACCACAGAAAAGACTTGGGTTTGATTCCCAGACACGGAAACAAACCTAATCCTGTGGCAGTTTTTTCCTTGCATAGAAATGCACATGTAGACACTGACAGAGCTGGCTGGAACACAAGGGTGCTTCAGTACAGGGCCTGCCTGCTAGTTAGCTTCACACTGGAGCACCCTTGTGCCCCAGCCCCTCGAGGCAGCATGCTGACCCGGGGGACCAGCCACAGGCTGCTCCACCCAGCTGCAGTGCCCAGGAACAATAAACTATGGCACAAACTGCACCAGAGTTTATTGTTCCAAATTAATTGCATGTGTATACATGTCTAGTGTTGACTGGGAGATGAGTAGTATTTAAAGGTGAATCTGCAATTCTTGTGAAATGTGTCACATGCACAATATTTAAATAAGCCCTTAATCCTGCACACACTTACAAACATAACCTTGCCCTTGAGAGTACTTTCATCAAGCTCAGCATTTCCTCTTGTATCTCATACATGCAAACATTTTCTGAAATTAGGTTTAAGATCACAGGATAGGAGGGAATGTACAAAATGCTGATCAGGGCAGTAGCCCAATATCATTCCTCTGCAACACTCAGAAAAGATTCTAATTTTTTTTAAAGTCAGGTATGGCCCTTATTATTCATCTGACATTTAAGTTGTTTTATTACAGGAAATGAGAAAGGGTCATTATGAAGTTTAGGATTTTTCACTTTTAGATTTGGGGAACCTACATAACAGCTTCCTCTTACATATTAATGACAGAAAGAAGAAAGATGGTGATGCAGAAAACCAATCCAAAGAGCTCATGAATATCACAGCAGTTAAGGATGCAAAGCATTTCAGCTGCATGCTTCTAGTTCTGCAGCAAAGATGACTGGAGCATGTCCCTGCTACCCCATGCTCAGGCTCCTATTTCATTGCTTAGAACTTTTGTAATTTTTTTTTTTTTTACATTAGAGCAACAATGAACCTATATTTTTTCCCTCCAGAACAAAAGATTCTTTGCCCTTCCCTACAGAACAAAAGATTCTTTGCCCATCAGATTTGAAACAAACATGAGTTCTGGCAATTTTAGTGATACAATAAAATCATACAATCACAGGGGTAGAAGGGATCTCAAGGGTCATTTGAGTCCAATTCCCTGTACAAATATAAGAATTGCTATTCCAAAAGCAACTATGGTTTCTGGGCCCCTTTGGCAAGCAAGTGGAGTATCTCATGTTCTCTCTCTCAAAGCATTCTTCATTGTTTCTTTCATTCGTGGGTCCTGCTTGCTTCAAAACGTGCAAGTTGGCTGAATCTGGGTGACGCTTTCTAGACCATCCCCCAGTACCATACAGATTCTGTATCCCACACAGAAAAACTCCATTATAAAGCTAAAAGTTCCAAAACTCACAAAGCAGCATTACGGCCATCTCTGCAATTTCACTTTTCCCCAGTGACTATCATATTACACAATTGCGTTCTATTATCTTAACTGATGGGGCTCACTGAAAGAGGCAGCTATTCAATATTTCTTTTCATCCTTATTGATTAGCAGCATACTGCTTTGTGCCTTCTTTACTGTCTAGCAGTCAAAATCTGCAGCAAGCAAGGAATAGTTTCTCTTCATAGACTTTTCATCAATATCACATCCGAGCACAAAGATAACGTGCTAACCACTTATCCCTCCCAGTCCAGCTTTTACAACTGGTCTTAGCTCATTAGTCAGTAATTTTTATGATAATATGCATGCCTTCTCATCTATATGCCAATAAATATTCCTTAACCAGGAGGAAGAAGGTCTTCCTACTCACTGATCTGACTAATGACTAATGTACACCTTACAGTGTGCTGTTTTCTCTGTCAAGTATTTTTGGTTCTGCATATATAAATAAGAGCACTACCCCATTTGCCTATATCCCTTTCTTTGCATATCCAATTCCTTAGTTGAGAGACATGTTAGGTTATAGCCATTATGTTAGTGGGAGCTGAATATGCTTTTCTTTTTTTTTAACTCTGAAAAATGTTAATGCTGTCCATGACTGGGGTTAAATCTTATGAAAAGACCACAGCATGATAGCATTCCCATTTTCAGAAGGTGGTTGCTCTTCAAGAAATATCCATTATATAGCCTCTTCCAGTCAAACAACACATACTGAATGCATTATATTGAGCTCCTATGCATGGATTCCTCATAAAATTGAATAAAGTTAAAAAGACATACTTCCAAAAAGTTTGTTGACTCAAAGTTAAATAATGGTTGCATTGTGTACAACTGTACAGTGCTGACACAATTACTGATGATTAATAAAGGTTTGCTTCTTACCACTGCTTAATGTAGATCAAAATATACTGGGAAGTTCATCCAGTCAAGCACTTGAAGTCTAGTCATGATCCACAATTCTCAAGATTTGGTAGTGATGCAAAATAAGGAAGACAGCTTTCACCTCTCCAGAGAAGTTTATTTCAAATAAAAGGAAAATAACACCTGACAGAAAAAAATTATGGCCCATATATAATGGAGTTAAATTTAATCAAAGTCAGAAAAGACTATTAAAAGCTATGAATGCATGGATAAAAACATTTCTGAAAGGGAATAACTGCTCTGAAGGCCCTACCCAGTCACGGTGCCTATGCAAAGCTAGTTTGACAGGAGGCACATGCCTGGCACCCCCAACCTTCACTCCTGAAATCTAATATTTGGATTTGACCAGGTCCAGAATGGAAGTGTTCCCCATGGCTAACTCTGAAATTCCCAACACAACTTCTGCACTTTGGAAGAGTTCTTCCATTTCATGTCCTTTACCTCTACTCACTGTTGTTTCCGTATAACTTCAATTCTTTGCCCATACCTTCCCCCCCCCCCATCTCCCATTCTTCTGAGTATTCCACTGTGTCCCCTTCTAATTGCCCTCCTTCCATGTTTTCACTTGATCATCCTGCACGCACACTTCCACTCCCATAGCTCATGAAGAGGTGTCACAAGTGAAGGGTGAGCTGAAAAAGGCCACTGAGCTCCCCTGAGGATCTTTCCGGCATTGGAGTTTAAGGAAACAGGGGCAGTGGCTACAGGAAAAGTGGTAGTATTTCTTTATCTCCTTCTCCTCCAAGGAGCTGGAAGCAGGTTCACTCCTGGGGCTGCATATACAGTGTAGCCTGCACTGTAATGAATAGTGAAGTTATCTGTAAACAAAGTAGTTTGCATACTTGGAAGCAATCTAGCTGCAGCAGTACAGAGTTCCACAGCTAAACTGATTTTTTGGTATCTGAACCAGTTTAAGTATCTCTGTACATCAAACAGGCTGCAATGTAGATACATATCCATTTGTTAGGCTCCTTATATAGTGCAGGAAGAGACTTAGGTGCCTTCCCCCTAACAAGTAGAAAACCAAGCTGTGAAAGCCAACAAGAAACACTGATGACAGAGGTGTTCCTAAAAACCTGCTCGTTTCTTGGGCTTCAAAACCCATGGGTTTTTTGGGATGCGCAGCCTGAAACTCTCCCTTGAGAGCAGGTCCCTACCATCTCTTCTTGAAGAACCTGATAAGGGCTCACTGTCCATCCCTCCTGTTGAAACGGTGCTACTGTACATCAAAAAAAAAATCCCAAGAGAATTTTAGGACCAGGGAGAGAACACAATGGCGCATGTATTCACAGTTAAGTTTCTGAAGTGATTCATTCAATAGCTGTATTTGATTAACTGTTTCATTAAAAACCCAAAATCCAGTCCCAAGATTACTACCTTAGATGATCTCAGGCAAAGTGATAGATTCCAGCACCATCAAATGCAAAAAACAAACCTATGCCCAATTCTGCCTAAATCCTAAATGTAAACCCCATCACTAATCAGAATCCAAACCAAACAACCACCTCATCAGCCCCTCTCTAATGGTGTTGCCCAGCTCAAGGGGGAAAAGGAGCTCAAGGCACAATGCTGAGGCAAGCTGTACTCCACCACCTACCAAAAGGGCTTGCGCTTCCTCTCTCCATTTGAATAGGACCCAGGGCTTGAGGTTGAACGGTAAAGAGGACACAAGAAATGACAGGAAATAGCTTCTTCAGGACAGCAAAATGTAGGTGTAAAGCCTGCTAGAGGTGGAAACTGAACCCACAACCTTTGAATTGGCAGACCAATGGCTCTATCAGTTGAGTGTTATTTAATTCAAGTTATTTTAGTGGTCTCCCTAAAAAACATTTAACAATGGTGTAAAATTAGTATAACTGAATGAAAAAAAATCTGTTTCAGAAGATTTAATTTTTACAGAAAAAAATCAAAATATTATTTTAATTTTAGATTATTTTACATAACAAGAAAAAAACCTATTAAAAACCCAACATACACATCAGGTTTTGAGAGAAGCAAATTTTGTCATTAAAATGTCCTAAAAAATGGGGGGGGGGGGGGGGGGGGGGGGGGGTGTATAAGAAAGGTAGAGAAAAGAGGGGGGGGGGGGGGGCGCGCGGCGGCGTACAGAAGAAGGCTTTGTACTTAGACTTTATTTCCTGTAAAGTCATTCACCACCTAACATGCTTATGTTATTCACACTAAGAATGTCTGGGAAAGCAAAACCTTTAAAATAATATTTAAAAATTCAGCCAATTTTTAGAAAGTCTAAATAAAGGAGCAAAATTCTCACACTGCTCTGAACACCACTGAATATGATGAACGGATGTCCTATTGCTGAGATTTTTTTTACCAAAATCTAGAGGCATAAAAAATAAATAAAGGATGGGTTTATGGCTCTTATATAAGACTATGACCTACACAATCTGGGCTCAGTACAACCTGTGCCTAGGCTTCCTCTGTAACCTTGGGCAGGTCACAGATTGCCAGATTTGAAGAAATATTCATAAATTTGAATTTCCTAAATTTGTGGTTGTCTGTGATGAAACACTTTGCTCCAGATCCTATTCCATCTAACACTTTGGTATGAATGTAGTTGTAATCCAATTTTATCCTGCCTGTGTCCCTGAAAACACGGTTTATGTTTTGTCTACCTCAGGCATATCTTAAGACAGCATGGAAATATGGAGGGCTTACCTACCTACTTTTTGCATTTATAGTTCTTCAGGGCCTTGAAGCAAGTAGAATAGGATGACACTTTAGACACCTAATATGTGGCATAGAACCTGGTCCCTTCTATCTGGTTTTTCAGTAAGACTGATGATGTGCTGCTTTCAAGTAAAGGCACCCTCTAAGGATAGAGAACTGTTGACTTAAAGAAAAAAAACAAAAAACATTACTTTAGATCTGGTAGACAGTTAGAAAACCAGGTATACCTCCTCAACAGAACATAAACTGCTTTAACCAAAACCTTAGGGCTGCTATACACATGCAGTGAGGCTGCTCTGACACTGTAATTATAGTGTATAAGAGCAGAATCCAGCATCACATGCATCCCCACGATGAAAAAATGGCAGCAAGGCACTTTACACTAAATCTTGTTCAAAGCGCCCTACCACAATTTTTCAGCACAGGGATGCTGATACATGTGATGCTCCAGGTGCTTTAATAAGTGTGGCTCTTGGAGCTGCACTAAACTATAGCGCCCTGCCCCCTGCCTCCTGAAGCATGTCTATAAACACCCATAATTATCTAAACCAAAACAAAGTAACATCCCCTGCTATCTGTAATACTAAACCTGTTCCTTCAGCATGTTCCCCTTTAATACCTAGATAATCAAAGGTGTACTGTATAAAGAAACACTGTCTAAAGTTCTTGGAACCAATTGCTACAGTGTCAGTAAACTTAATAACTAAAAGTGGCAAGGAGGACCGGAATGCATAAATACAGACAGACTTCTTGAAACACGTTTAGGTAGAACTCTGTAAATATGCCACATAGAAACTATCTACCAGTTTTATCTCAAATTACTTTATGTGTCTATTTGCATGTTTTCTCCTTTTCTGCGCTTTTATACAAAAACTACATTATAATGATATTATAATGATTATCAGTGAAAACCGACCGCAATCTAAGAGAAGTAGTTGTAGTTAAATACATTTTATTTAACAGCTACTGCTGTTTTTCCAATTTGTGGTACTACTGTTTATTATGGAAGCAAGTGAAATTTCAAAAATTTACTTAATGGTGAAGACGTAAGTGGGACAGATTTCAACAATTTGCTAAATCAAATAGTGTTACAGTAAACATGACCCAAATTTTTTATGCCCAAGAGAAAGCTCTTTTCAGCAGAACCTCCTTCTGAGTGTATAACCCAATAAGATTAGCAACACAAAATACTATTTATAAAAAATAAGATTCAATAAAGATTCTTCTTACAATGTGGATGGATTAATGTATAGGAACACTGCCTCAAAAACATTCAACATGATACAGAGATTACTAGTATAATAAAAAAAAAAAAATTAAAAACCCCACACATGGACCAGTTGACAGTTAAACACCATTCTAAAGCTTTGCTTCCTGCATTATGCAGATAGTCTTTTTAAAAAAGACTCACAGAAAGTTGATCATGAAAAGAGCATCCAATGCTACTCTCCAGTGTTTTCAACATGGTATGCATATACGATGCCAGCATTCTGAAGCAGAAAATATTCTGGTAACACTCTATTTGCCTTTGCAAACAAAATTCTGTCTTGACCTACATAGAAGATGTAGGTCTTTCACATTTCACAATGAAATAATTTTTGTGGAAAAATGATGTGGCATTTTTGTGGAAAAATGATGTGGCATTTTGGTACACAGAAAGAGTTACTTCATGGCAGAAAAAAGAAATATTAATAAAAATTGTCTTTCACATTATTAAATGAACACATCAAATTAAAGCAAATAGAATAGCTCTTGCCAGCAGATAGTTCAGAGATCAGTGTTATTTTCTGTGGATCAGACTTCATTACTCTCAGAATATAGCTATCTATATCTGAGAACATGTAAATAGCAGTTATAAGGTCAGAGTTACAACAGGTTCATCATTCATTCCTCACTTTTTTGAAAGTTTAATTCAAACCTAACAATAGCTTTAATAAAGGTGAAAAAAAAATCAAAATGACAATAGATTGAGATCTGAAATACTGAAAATCATATTAATCTCTGATTTAATTCCAATGAAGTCAACTGAGTTAAAGGACATCAGCATATGCAACACAAATAAGCAGCGTCAAAAACATTTTAATTTACAAATGGAAAAATAAAAAAAAAATATATACAACTACTGCATTTTTGCTTCTTCATTCGCATCTTTTGCTCCCAGACTTCCCTCTTCAGTGACCTGCAAAACACATTTGTTTTTAAAATATAGTTCCATTCTGTCCTAACAGTACATTTTTGCCTTTTGTCATTTTATCAAAGCAAGGATATATGTCTTTATAATTAAATAATAATAAACCAATTTGAAAGTGTTTGTAATCATATAAGAACATGCTGCACGGTTCAGTTCTTAGCATGTTTCATGAAGAGTGGACTCCAGCAGATGCATTATGTTTTTCCACTCTGCTGCTACACAAGCAGGCAGAATATTCTTTTTAGGGATCTAAGGGCACGTCTACATGAGACACTTCACTCAAGATTAGAGACAGACACTATGCAGTAATAAGCTCTAATCATAAATAAATTTGCTACCTATAAACACAAGTAGTAAATTTACTCTTGGTTACCTACTGCACAGTAGCACACACATACACAGCTGACCAGGAGCAAATGTGCTCCCAGTCAGCTGAGCAACAGGGGGTGGGAGCTGCCTGCTGCCAGGGTAGATTTCACCACTATAGCCCAGGCAGGGACAATGTCCCCCTGCCCCGGCAGCAGGGAGCTCTCACCACCACTTTGCAATTGCGATTATGGAGTGAGGACTGGGAGATTCCTATCTCCCAGCATCGGCTCGCCGACCACAGAGCTGACACTGTGGGAGAGAAGAATCTCCCAACCCAGGTCCTGCAACTGTGAAGCTACGTGCAAGAGAAAAGAATCTCCCATCCCTGGCCCAGCAATCATGGAGCAAAGGCTGGGAGCTCCCTGCTGCTGTCCCTCAGGCTCCAGGGGTGGAGCCCACCCCAGCAGCAGGCATCTCCCAGGGCCAGGGAGTAACATCCCAGCCCCCACCAGGTGACAGTTGTCTCCTGGCCCCTTCCTCTCTGTCACCCCTGGGTTAGCACCCAGAGGGAGCTCTGGCTGCTTCAGGAGGCCAATGCAGGGCCAGTGGGAGTGGGAACAGACTGCTGCCATCGGCAACAAATCTGCTCCCACTTCCCCGCATGTGGGCCCCCTAATTTACTCTCTAGAGGGTGGGTTTACTCTAGAGTAATTTCCTAATTTAGAGTAAATTAGTAAATTGCTCTAGAGTAAACCCACCCAGGAGCATTTGCACATGTAGATAAACCCTAAAGGTCTGAATCCTTCACTATTAAATCTCCCTCCACATTTAGTTATTCCTAGAAAGTGAAACTATTCATACACATGGTATGTTTCAGCGCGATTCCAACTCCTTTATTCCAAAACACACCTTTTGCATTTATTCAGTCACTTTAAAAGTCTTATAGATGCTTTCACTGTTGCCCTTTAATATTATATCCTGAGAATTTCCCAACATTTCCCCCTCCTAGTTACCATATAAATGTTGACTGATTGATTTATTTACAGTTTGGAGCTATTTCCAATAGTTTTCCAACTACTTCACGGTCATACTAAATGTCCATTTTATATTCCAACTGCCAATTTTAACCTTAAACACTTGGAAAAAAATATATAAAAAGGCTAAGGTAGCTGTTACAGGTTATCTTTAAAACATTTTAAGTCTGCAGGATGTTATGCCGTCAAAATTAGAAGAGTCTCAGAGCAGACACAGGTTATGGCTTAATGCCGCCTCAGAGCCTCAACTGTGACTTGCTGCTAGAGGTCCTGGCAAGCAGAGGCATTGACAGGAGCCCAGATTCTACCCCCTGATCTTGGGTAGGAAAGGAGGGGGAGAGTAACATGTAGCTCATAGGTGAAGAAACCAGGGGGGCTAGAGCTTCCCACATTTGTCGGCCAGCAGGAGCTGTGGGGGTGGGGGAGAAATCTGTTTGAATTAAATGAGCAGGAGGGAGAAGTAAAGAGGAAGGACTTAAAAAATAATCATAATAATAAATTACTTGTTTCACAGAATTAGAATTGGGTCAAGGGTGGGGCCTTGGTTTAGTACTCAGACTAGGGAAGCGCTGAGACCCACCAGGCTCAATGCATGTCACAATGGGGCAGGGCTGAGAGCCTACACATTCAACACATACATCAGGGGTAGGCGATTATTTCAGGCAGAGGGCCGCTTACTGAGTTTTGGCAAGCCATCGAGGGCTGCATGACAGGCAGCCAGGGGCAAATAAATACTAATTTTCTAAATGTTTTAGGGGCCCCACGGGCTGGATAGAATGGCCTGGTGGGCCGCATCGGGCCCCAGGGCCACATTTTACCCACCCCTGACATACATGAACCTGTCCAGATTGCAGCCTCTCTCATAGTTTCCATTCTCTGGTTCATTCTCTTCAGAGAGGTAGGTAGTGGGATTGCTGTTGCTGTTTGCACCAGGGTGCTAGAGGAAGCAGTAAACTTGTGAGCTATACCTGGGTGCTCAGAGGGGTCAAGGTATGCTGGGATCGTACCCGCTGGGGGCAGAAGGGAGTGTTGGCTTGGGGCCAGAACAACTGCCCTGGTCACTAGAGTTCAGGATTGCTGAAAGTTTGCCAATGGAGCAAAGGAATGGGAAGGGCTGAGAATGATGCATCCTGAGATGCTGGAGGAATGAAAAATGGAGCATTTTAATCTCCCCAAAGAAGACTAACAATACCCTGACGCAACATGGGTAAAAGGGATCAAAGAGAACTCTTGCTTGTATCAGCATAACTTTAAAACATTTAGAGTAGCATTTCTCAACCCATGCGTCGCAAGAATATATGAAAGGCTCGCAAATGAACTTTAAAAACAATCAATAGAGTTTAAAAAATGGACTCTCCTCTGAAAAAGAAAAACATGAGAAAAATGTGGCTTTTCCCTTGCAGACTAGCAGAGTTCCAGCCTGTGACGGACTGCTTCCCCCGTACCCCCTTCTCCACACACTGGGTCAGGACCGGCCACTGATGCTTACAAATGGGTTCTGGTACAAAAAAGGTTGAGAACCACTGATTTAGAGGGTACTTAGAACAGGTTAACACCCTTTAACTGGTAAATGGTCCCATTTTAAAATGCCTTTATGATGATTTAAAAGGTAACCTGTAACACCACCCTAATACAATTAATAAGGTGAGACAATAGCAAGTGCCAACTACGGAGTTGTTTACTAAAGGCTTATTAACAAAGCACACAGATTAAAATATTATTCACACGTTTTCCTGAATTGCATACTAGAGAAATTACAAATACCAATCAAGTTGCATGACCTGTTGCATTACAATCTTTTTTTTTTTTTATGATACTGACTTCCAAATACTACCAATTTTTCCTTATTACAAAGCAATTAGATTCAATTTCTCTATAGATTTTAATGTGTCCTGGATTTTTTTCCTTAAACCAGTGGCTCTTGTAAAATACTTTCCATCTTTAATTACTTAACATCTATAATATTAAATCAATATATCTTTTAAGAAAAATAAATCGACAATACGTATTTAGCTACTACTAAAACTTACCAGTCTCCGAGACCTCTCTAGCAACCTGCGCCATATAACGTAATGAGCCTGGAGAAAGAAAAAAAAAAAGACAGGAACTAATAGCAACGTCCTTTTGACAAAACTGAAAACCAGCATTCTAGTGACTTGAATAGTTAGTTTGATGCTCCATGTAAAGCAAGTTCATTTTATCACATTTATGGTGAGACCAGTTTCTATCCATTTTTCTCTCTCTTTCACAAGCACACAAACTGCAATCACGCAACTACTTACATATACAAGTATCCCCAATGAAATCAATGGGGAGTTCAAGCACAAATGCTAAGCAAGTAAACTTTGGTAGAATTAGGCTTTACATTTTTCTGTTACCATCAGCATAAGAGAACAAGCAGGGAATTACAACAGAGATGTAACTACTCTCTGATTAGCGTTTATATAAATGATTCTCAACCTTTTTAGACTCAGGTACCCCTCATTAGCCTCAAGGCACCCACTTGGAAAATGCCAGCTTTTCACTTGTTTTTTGGACTACAGAAAAAAAATTGAGCAATTCTCCTGATTCAAAGACCTCAGAAAGACCACAATGTTTTTTAACACTATGGATTCCTATTTGAAATCCCTGCAATATCTTGTAAATCACAACTGCACACCTAATACCACTGTGTGGAACCCTGCAGTACTCATGAAAGGATCTCAAGACACCCCACGATGCTACAGCACCTCAATTGAGAATCACTGGTTTATACATTTTAACAGGGCTGAATCCAGAATCACATTGTCAGTTATCCACACCACTCACTGTAACTGAAATGTTTAAGTTATCCACTGCTGTTAGACTTACCTGAAAAAAAAATCTCAAATTATTTATTTAAAGACTCTGGCTGTCAATGAGGTCAAGGTCTCCTACACTACTCTACTGGTAACTGTAGGAGGAAAACACGATTATACATGAATAAAGGCTAACCCCAAATTACTAAAGAATTTAGAAAGCTTGGGGAAAAAGGATAAGAAGAAGAAGAAAAGAGGAAAAAGTTTTAAAAATAGAATGTACTTGACACTTCTTCAGCGTATGGCCATACACATGAAGGAACACAGGTTAGAAAACTAACTGATGAAGGCTAAGCAGAGTTTTCCTCTGTAGGCAGAATATTCCATTACTGTCATTACAGGTTTCTACTGCAGATCACAACTGCAGACAGAATACCTGACTACAAAAAAAATCACTTTTGTAATTCTTCACAACAATTCCTCTGCTCACTTTGGAATGCCATATAAATCTGTATTCTTTAAATCAGAACAATTATCACTTGCCACATTTCAAAAAGAAAGATGAAAAAGAAAAACTATTTATACGTATAAACTTCCAAGAAGTAAGTATAAAGTGCACCGTATTAAAGAAAACAATCCTTTTCTTTAATACTGTAAAATAACATCTAGGATCCTGGACTGTGTTGGAAACAGTTTTGACTTGGTCTCTAACATAGTACCAAGAAACTAGAACCTCGACTCACCTTGAGCAACCATTCTTCCTAGATCTCCAATTCACTAATTGCTGTTCACTACTAAATTTACAGGAAAATAGATACACTGTTCAAACTAAGAATCTGAAAGGCATCTTAAAAGCCCTCTCCTGAGTGAAGAGCACTGGTAAAGAATACATTAGTTACCCTTAAGTGTATTGGCAAAGAAACACCCTGGAACCGTCGTATTAATCCAGATTGGCTGGCCTGAAGATTGTGGGCTGCTGTCACTTGATACTGGAAACAAAAGCTTGTCCTTGGTATGTGTGGGCCTTCAGTAACATCTACGAAGTCACCAAACCTGATCAGAAGCAAATAAAACTTATGATTAATGTATTTTTAATGACATTACAAATATAGCTCTTCTCTTCATTCGTAACCACAGGAGATTGCAATAAACCACCTTACAGACCCAAAGAACCAAAGACCAAAAGGTCAAGCAAAATTCAAGTCAAACATCCCACAATGACCACAGAGAGGTGTTTCATTTTTAGCAAGAAATGAGCGTTCTCAGCATCAGAGCAAGAAGGCATACAAGTCTTTGAGTGGTTTGCGGCAGAAAAATAAACGGTGATTCCGCCAGGAAACGCTAGCTTTTTCCAACAGCAACTTTTCTAGAGAGTTAAGTTTTCTAGTGCCATCTGTAAAAAGCCAGTAAGTTACACACAGAGCAGTAAGGGGCCCGAGAGCCTCCAATATACCACAGTCCACCATTCTTCCCTCCCCCATGTCCAAGGGGGGAGAGAGAGGGACAAAGAATAGCTGACTCCCCAATAGCTCAGCCACTGATCAGCTGATTGATGAGACTGGGAAGGGCAGGCTCTGTCATGGCCACAGCCATGGGTTTTTGCTCATGCATCCTCTCAGACATGGGGACAAGCCCCATCCTGCAGCCAGAACACGGGTAAGAATCAGTATTTGGCCACAGGGCCCCCAATTCATGCAGCGTGGGTGCCAGCTCAAGGTACTGCTGCGCAGGCTGACAACTAATATTACTGCTCTAAAGTCAGTTCACCCACACTTCGCTGAGACACTTTGTAGCACTACAGAAGAACTGCTGTCCATAGCCAATAGCTAGGGACCACTGTAATTCAGGCTCCAGCAGAAGGAGAAGTGGGCTCCCTGCAGGCTCGCCAGAGCCAATTTCAGGCATTTTTCAGGGCAGGCCCTCCCATGCTTCTGAATGGCTGAGGGACAGCACGGCAGAGAAGGGGAAGGGGAAATTCCCCTCCACTCTCACATGGCAGCAAAGCAAAGCCGGGCTCACGGGAGCCGTGCCGGGCAGGGGCAGGCACCCAGCATGCCTATGTCCAGCCTCTAGGGCAGGGGGGGAATTATCTGCTCCGCTCTGGGCAGGGCTTTTAAACTCCCAACTGAAGCAGGGAATCAAACAACCTGACTGGCTTAGCTGTGGCAGGAGCTCAGCCTATACTAGGCTGCCCCTAAAAACGTGGGGCTCCCACCATGTTTCCGGGGCTCTGCTGCCTTTCTTCTCCATGCTTTGCTTTTTTTTAAAAACGTTTTTCCCCGCCACCCCCTCCCCCAGTTTCAGGCCACTGGTGGCCAAACTACAGTTTTACAGGACTTTAGGGAAAATGCTAAATTTCAGGATTTCCCCTGAAATCTCCTGAAGCCCGAATTACAGTGATCCCTACCTATAGCTCAGCATTCTTGATGCCAAGTAAAAAAAGTACTCTGGAAAACTGCAAGTTTTCCATGTTTGCCCATCCAGAACCTAAGAAATTTGAACTAAAGTCCGAAGAAAAGACTCTTGCTATGTGCCGCTCTGGGTAAAACAGCTCACTTTCATAATAGGAAGTGCAGACCTGAACTCTGCAGGGAAGAGGAGCTCCTGCCAGCTCAGGCTGATAAGGAGTGCGAGCTGCAAGCTGTCAGGTACTCCCAGGGCCAGTTAATGGGGAGGTGGCTTGGCAGTGGTATGATAACCCAGATCTTGAACTAAGCGTTTCAAGTTTGAAGTGGCTGTTTGAATTTTTGCTCCAGCTGGATAACAGAGGACTGGGTGAGGCTGTAGGGGTGGAAAAGGAAGCCACATGGGTGCTGAGGGGGGCATGCCGGGTTTCTAGGCCTGCCACAGGCAGGGGCACAAGGCCGAAGCAGGCTGAGGCTCAGAAGGGCCAGAGCCTGACCCTAGGAGTAGGGCAATCAAAGTGGCCTGAAGCGGAGATGGCCAGAGCCTGAGCCCAGAAAGGGTGACGGGGGAGGCCAGGGACCAAAAGGACCAGAGTCTGAGCCCAGGGGGAACAAAAGGGGCAGCCAAGGGCCAACAAGAGGCTGAGACTGCAAGGCCAGTCCAGAGCCAGTGGGCCCAGGCTAACAGTCAACCACCAAAGTAAACTGAAGGCTAAGGCTAAGAAGGCTGAAGCTTATACAGGAAGGCAAACGGTGACCAAGTGACATCTGCAAGGCACAGGTATGGCTCTAGGGGCAGAAGGAAACCACAAATAGCCCTTAAGGTTACTGGAGCCCTGAAGAACTGATGGAGCCAAGGGGGACCCCACTTAGGGCTTGAAGAACAGGACTGGAGGGCAGCTAGGTACAAGAGGCCCCCACTATTCAAAACAGGTTAGGGCTCACTCAGGGACCCTAGGTCAACCTTCCTTCTACAACAGAAAATAATTCCATCAAGGCATGGCAAGTGAGAGCAAAAGGGAAGCACACCCTGAAGAGCCAGAGTGGGGCAGGAGCTGTGCGGTCACCAGGGGGCATCACAGCCACTCCTGGGGCCTTGTCCTGTCACACAGACCAAGGAATATGCCTCCACGCCTATACTTTAAAGATGGCATTTCTTCTTTCATGCATTAGACAGTTCCTATACAACAACGAAATGGAAAACCCAAAGAAGAAAGAATATGAAATGAAGAATGCTTGAAGCAAATAATCTCTAGGAAGGTCACTCAAGGCTCCCTTCCCCACTGTGTTCAAGCATTTCTCCCTTATGCTCTACAGGCTTCCTTGGGAAAATATTTTGTCCTGGAATAAACGCTACATTAAAAAAAGACATTTCTGCAAAGTCAGTTTTTCCTCAGGAAGCTTCCAGACCAAAGCCGCATATGGAAACATTTAGACAAATGGTCTAAATATGCTGCATCCACCTAAGACCTTTGTTATTCACGGTCTACAGTAACACCCAAGAAATATCCTTTACGTACTCAAATTCCTACCACTCTTCTGCTTCTTCATCCCCAAGTCTGCTCCATTCTGACCACAGTCTAAACATAACTGCAGCTAATGGAATAAAAGGAGTAAAATTTGCCAAATTGAGATAAGCTGGCAGTTTTAGCAGTAAGTGGATTTTATTTTTGAAGTACTTTTCTTCTACCCCAGTTTAATAAATAAGTACAAATATGTTTAGATCTTCACTATAAAGCTTTGAAATGTATGGAATTTTTTAGTACTTACCTTCAGTAAATGATCAGTGAAGTCCTACCAGCTTAAAACCTTTCTGATCATTAGAAATCTAATGAGTTCCATAAACTTAAATACCACAATAATGGTGTTGTGGAAGAATCTAAATAGCTAACTGAAACAGCACCAGCAGACTGAGTAAAGGAAAGTTTAATTAAAATATGTCTCAATTCACTTATCTTTCTTTCAACTGCCCACAATTTTGGAAAGTAATTAGATCTTCCTGTGAGTCACTATAGACAACTTTGCTCACCTATGTAACTTTACTATTCCTTCAGGGCTTTGTGAAGCTTTCTGTTCTATTATCTCCATTTTGTACCTTAAAGAAACAAGAAAAAAAGCATACTTAAGTATTTACTAAATAAAAATTTACAGATGCAAAGGAGGGAAAACAGTCAAACGGCTTCATATCCTTACAGAAATATCTAAAGCACCACATGCAAAAACTCAATAATGTCAATGGAAGCCTTTTTATTACCGCATCATTAGGGATCCGGGTTTTCCATTTCCCACAGAAAAAACAGGAAAAATGAAGTTTCCCCTTTTAAACAAGAAAAATATGGAAGGAGCTGGGCAGGGGTAGGGTTATAGCTGGGGCTGCTGCTAAGCCTGGGTGCTGCATGGGGTTTGGGGCCTGGGACTAGAATGCACAGCTGCAAGGCCTCCAGCAGGGAGTAGGTCAGAGCCACAGGAGTTCTGATTTTCCATGATAAAAAACCCAAAAATCAAATACCAAAATTTATAGGGATTTAGAATTTATTTTATTATAGTGTTTGAGGTACTGGTAGGTTTCCAAATTGCTTTAAAATTGTAAATATATCAATAAAACATTGTGTTCAATGGATACCTATATACACATATTTTATTTATATATACATACATACATACACACACACAAAATGGTGTTTCATTTGAATTGCGGATTTGGGGGGGTTTAAATCAGAGAATTTGTGATTTTTAAATCAGAGAAAACAAGGATCCCTGCTCATCGTTCTTAACAACACAACTTTAAGATTACACAAATAGAAACGTGAAAACTTTTGAGGGATGCATTGAAGGAACACAATCTTCTAAAATGCTTGGCTATTATAAGATTATTAATAGCACAGTTTTGTACTGTTAGCATTCAGCTTTGAGTACGATTTTGACAAGTTTCACAGAGGATCAACTATCTTAAAACAATTCTATCTATAAAAAAAGAATATAATCCATCGATAAAAACAAACCTTTCCAATATTAAGGCCAGAAGGTACCATGACATCACCTATACTGACTTCTTGTGTACAACTGCAACCAGTTTCCCCAGAGCTCAATAACTTGTCTTTGACTAAAGCCTCCCTTCTCAGAAGTCATCCAGTCTTGATTTGAGAACTTTATGAAATGGAGAGTCCACCAATTTCCTTAGTAATTTGTTCCAATGCTTAATCAGTCTCACTGTTAAAAGTGTTGCTTATTTTCTCATTTTAATATTTAATGTAACTTCAACCTCCAGAGTAGCTATTATAGAATCATAGAAAATTAAGGTTGGAAGGGACCTCAGGAAGTCATCTAGTCCAACTCACAGCAGGACCATCCCCAACTAGATCATCCCAGCCAAGGCTTTGTCTAGCCGGATGTTAATAACCACCCAGGATGGAGATTCCACAACCTCCGAGTAACTTGTTCCAGTGTTTTACTACTCTCCTAGTGATAACGTTTTTCCTAATATCTAACCTAAACTTCCCTTGCTGCAACTTGAGACCACTGCTCCTTGTTCTGTAATCTGCCACCATTGAGAACAGTCTAGCTCCATCTTCTTAAAACCACCCTTCAGGTAATTAAAGGCTGCTTGCTATTAAATCCCCTTTTAGTCTGCTCTTCTCTAGACTGAAGCTCAATTTCCTCAGCCTCTTCTCAGAAGTCACGTGCCCCAGCCCCCTAACCATTTTCATTGCCCTTCACTGGACTCTCTCTTTTATACCTTTGGCTGCTAAATTTATGGAGACCTTTAATAAACAGAGGTACAGAGAAGTGATATGATCTGCCCAAGATCAAAAAGTAGGTGAGTGGTCAAGCAAGAAATAGAATCACGCTCTACTAAACCACACTGACTCCAAGATAAATACTGGGATGGAACAGGATATGTGGTTAGTGACCTCTTTAACCAAGGTGAAGTTTAATGATATGCAATAAAATAGATTACTCAATATACTGACCAAATTTTAAGCTTTCATCTATATCTTGTCAGAAATAATATGCATGTGTTGTGAGGCATGTAATCACTAGTAAGCTGAAGGAAACCTAGAATTAATGAAATGTTTAAAGCCCCAATACTAAATATAAAATCTCAAGCCTGTTCCATTTCTTAAACATCTCTCAGAAGTACATTATAGTACCACCTAGTGTACAAATTGACAGAAAAATGTAAGGACATATACATTTTATATGTACATATATTTATATTTTATACATAGTATAAACTGCTGTACTACAATGAGGTCAGAGCTATAGTAATTTACCCAAACAAATAATCAAGCCCACCATATTTCAATCATCACTAGCTTAAAGACTGCATTTCCTTTAGAAATCAATCAGATCTTTACTGACCTGTTATGCCGAAACATTTCTAATGCCACTTTTGCTTCAACATCCAGCATTTCAAATGGCAGATCTTTGTAAATTAGCCTGCATGCTTCTTTTGTAAGAGAATTGAAGGCATTCTTCAAAGCAAAAAATAAGACTGTTACCACTATTCTTCAGCTGCTCTTTAATATGCATTCTATGTATAAGAAACACTATAAGTAACTATACAAATAGTAAAGGACCAGGATAACTACTGTAGATCTATGCAAGAGGCAAAGATTTGGGAACAGACTTAAACAAGCTTTCAAATGCAGTGCAGTCTTTTTTAGGTTACCTGAAAATACTCTGATTACTTCAAGTCACCAGAAGACAACAATAGATTAAAAAGCTTGGTTAAGTCTATTCCAACTATGCAGTTGGTCCAATAAAAATGTATCACTGACAAAAATCCTCTCCCCATATTTCCTAGACCATCATGGCTACAACATCACTCCAACACTACTATTGATCTATAAATTCTTACCACAGATGCATTTATCAGTGATGTACCTGACAGTGTTTCCTGGTGATCTCATTATGATTACTTTTAACAGGGCCTGGTTAAATGTCCAGTATAACCAATAGGCAGACAAGGTTCTTTGAGTAAACGGGATTTCTTTTATTAGACCAACCAAGTAGTTGGAAAAAAGTTCTTAGCAAGCTTTCAGGCACAATCACCAGTACTGTACAACCAATGGCCTTCAAGGATAATTCATCAGGTCCAAGAAAACAACCAAATAACCCCCCACCCCAAAAAAACCCAGAAATTACTTATTACTCGAGAATTCTCTTTAACGTGAAGTGCCTTAAAGGTTCTTCCAACTTAGTACCTGAACATATTTAACATTTAACAATGGCAGGATTTTATATGGTTATTTCATGAATACTTTTCTAGGAACTGATCAGAGTTCTACCTACAAGTGACTTCTACAACGACAGATTAAGAGAAATGGGAAATACCAATAAGACAATCTGTTTGCCCTCTCCAAAAAATAAAATAAAATAAAACAAAACAAAACCTTAGTACTCAAGAGTATTTGGCAATAATAAAGAAATTTTTACTGGACTGAGAAGTTGAAGATAGTTGCACCTGTTTTTTTAGAATTTTTCAACTTTTAAAGTAAGCCAATTCAAACACAGATTGCATACAAGCAAGACTCGCTTTTGTTAATACTGTCCCCTCTTTCCACATTTATCTACATTTTAACAGACTAGTACCTGCCCAGTGAATTATATTTAATTTCACTTAAAGGCTGCGGGGCCCGATTAAAATGTTATTAATGGGTCTGACAGCCTTTGCTAAAAAGTGATACACACAAGCTAACAAAGGGAATTTCACCTGAGTATACTCAGTATTTCTAGGTGGGCACATATTGCCTCCTCCACAGTGGAAGTAAAAAAGTGTGCTAACCATACGCATTGATTTTCACAATACTTCACAGGTGCAGAGTTAACCTGCAAAGATCAGATGGCAAGATTAAAAATTTCTGCACTCTCCTGCAATCTTTAGTAAACTAGCCTGCTCCCTTGAAGAAAGGTTCCAGAAGCAAAGAAAGACTAAACTGTACAGTTCTTACAACATGTAAGACGGAAGGAAGCTATGCTTACCTCTGCTGGCTTCCAGTCATCAAGTGCACTGTCCAGAACTACATCATAGCAGAAAGCTCCAGAAATCACTGAAGAGGCAATATTAAGGAAAAAAAACAAGACTTATTTGTTTTGCTGCCTGCTGCGCTATTCTGAAGGTATCTGAGTATACACATCGCGCTGAACCACTTTCCTGCCTGCTGTACCACTCTGAGGGTACCTGAGTATGTGTGCCCCTCTCCCCTGCTGCAGCATCCTGCAGCCCGGCTGCCCTGTCATTTGGGGTGGATAACTATTATGGCATTTTTATCTATGTACTATTTTACTCTTTATACAGTATGTTATACTATAATGTACTGTACACTAATTCTTGAAAATCTGCACTACAAGTATGGTGCTGTCTTCCTTGAGTATAACTGTCAGATAATCAGAATTTTTAGATAAATAGCACCCCACCATTCCCCACTCATGCCAGATAACAGAGATTTTACTGTGGTACATGAATATACAACAGCCAGTGTAAGACTGTTTCTGTCACAGAAATATAACAAGGGTTGCAAAATGAAATTTGTTGATTAGAGCTGGAGTGTTTGGGTTTTATAAAAATCAAACCACAGATTATGAATGCATCTTGAAATAAGTTGCCATGGCAATATCGATAGATCAATGCTAAGGATATTATCATTTTTGTAACAGTGTCTGCATAAATACACTATGGTCTGCACCAACTCTCCCAAAGTTGCATCAAGTCTCCAATATTTCCTATGGAATGTGTTCAACCCTTTTTCTCCCTCAAAGTATAAGACCCAAACTAAGACCCTCTCCTACTTTGGAGCATTTTTGTACTTGCCATTTGTAAAGAGGATCTTATTGCTTAGGTGTGCCAGTCAAACAGCATATAACTGCAAAGTTATTTATTTATCCACAGAGGCGGTATCATAGTTAGCAGCAACACAAGATGCCAACTTTACCATTGTACCAAAGCAGGATACAGCAGGGTTTCCATATCCACTTATTCTATCCCCGCATATTCACAATCCTTGACTTCTAAAGAATAGTGAAGAAATGTCAGCTGGTGTCATGTTATGAAGTGTAAAACATGACAAGCCACAGCTTTATGGCTAGATACCTAGTCATGCATCCAAATGTTTTCAGGCTTCACTACATAAGTAACCTCTCCTAAAGTTCTTATTTTCTCTCCTTACCACTAAAGGTCTCATCTTTAAGTTTTTTCAGTTTAAAATCCTAAAAATCCAGACTACATTGGAATAGAAATTGACACTAAACCTTCCTATTACACTTCTTTATTGCAACTGTTTCCTTGTATAATTTAAATTTGTTATATATTGTGGGTCTCAAGTAAACTACCAGGTAATTATACAGGCAAGGAATACTAGAGAACATGTAGAAACATCAGTTCTTCCTACTTCATGCTGGCTATTCATCAGGTAAAATTCAAGGACTGCAAAGCCTTAGCTGGACTGAGATCAAGTTCTCTCAGAGACCACCCTTCTCAGCACTGAAAGAAGACCTGCATTCACCAAGTCTCCTTGAACTGAAAGAGGCCAAGATATGCCTTGTATTAACCTGGGTTACAATCCTCTTAATGGAGGACTCAGAGCTGTAGAGCCTGCTGCAAGCAGCAATTAAGGTGCACAGAATCTTGTAAGCATCAGAACAGCAGAGACTCCCTATGCCTGAAGAAAGGTGATTTACGCCCGAAAGCTTGCTAAGAACTTTTTTCCAACTACTCAGTTGGTCTAATAAAAGATATCACATCTACTCAAAGAACCTTGCCTGCCTATTGTCAGCATCAGGGCATTATGCAAGACCACCTTTTCAAGAAAGCACTTTGCATGGATTTCAGAAATGCTCAGCCTTAATCTAACTATTCCCATTCCCACTTTTTACTAATGTATCACCCCACCTTCATTGGCTGTTTAACACTTGAAGGGATAAATCTGAGAGGGAAGAAAGTGGCAATAAAATTCTGATCCCTGTGTAGGTATTGCTTTGAATTTAAATTGCATGCATAGAGCACTATGTATTACAAGGAGACATTTTAGAAATGTATGAACACTACTTGCTCCAATAAGTAGGAAGAGGAGTGCCTAGCTGTGCCACAGTACTAGTTCCCAAATATTCCCCATAACACAGCCTAAACACGCATGTCATCTGTAAAACCTATATATCACCTGGCACTTCTGGAGCTCTGACCAGACTCACTGAGTATTCATCTTTGAATGCTTGCTTTAGCATACATGCCATGATCATGGCACAGGAGCGCCAATAGGCCTGTAAAGAGAATTTCAAACATAAATTTAACTATACCAATAGCACTAATCCATGCAGATTTTAATTCAGATGTTGATATAAACAGCAGGTCTTCATTGACACTTGCATTTCAAATGAAGATTTGTGTATTCATATTAATATTTGCATACTGCATTAAAGTTCTTAATTAGGGATTCACCAATATATCGGTTGGCTATCAGATCAGCAACAATAAAAGGAGAAATGACATTATCAGCCATTGGCTTTTTTTGGTCATTGTAGCTGATAATTATGGCCATGTGCCCAGAGCACCCTGGTGAGCACAGTCCAGTCCCCATGGCCCACCGCTAACCCAAGACCACAGCAGGCTACAGGTCTGGGCAAGCACTGGGAGGGGGAAGAGGGCACTGGGGAGTGGTCACAGGGCATCACACTCAACAACAAAGGGACTGTTACTGGTTTCTGCTGCTGCTACCAAGGCAATACCGTGTGCCCAGCAAGGGCCTGAGCTCCGAGGCTGCTGTGGAGACATTGGGCTGTGTGTGTGGGTGGGGTAAGGTGCCATTGCAAGGGGCATTCCAAGTCCACTGGGCACCTTTGCAAAACCAGCTTCTCCCCAGCAGCCATAGGAGCTCAGCTATGCAGGGCCCAGTACCGGGCATTGAGGCAGCGGTGCGTTTCAAGGCTCCAAATGAGCCTGGCGCTGCTGTCCACACAAGTGTCTGCCTGCCCACCCAAGATGGCAGCATGGGCTGCACGGAGAGCGGGGCTACAGGTAACTGTGGGCAAAACAGAGGCACTGCTGAGTGGCACAATAGGAGGTATTATATGTATAACTTTATTATCTTCAGGCCTAGCAAGACAAGTTTAAAATATTCCAAAGCAAGGATCAAACTGCATTAGCACACAGTGACTTGCCAAGATGATATTTTGCCCTGGTGAGTGAATGCTCTGCTCCTGAATACACTTTTATTCAGAAACAGTTAAAACAGTAACCCTAAAGTTTTCAAGTTTAGCTTCAAAACATACTGTACTTGGTGTGGGTCCCACACCAGCTGGAGCAGCCTCCAGATCAGGTATGCTGATGAGAGAGGAAGGGGAAAGAACGGAGGTGTCCATAGGCCCTACCCAGACCACAAACCAACCCAATGCCACTCATTTGGCCCCGCACTACATCATCTTTTTAAAGGCAGAAGAAGGACTAACCCAGTTCAGCTCCTCTTTAGCCATTACATTTTTTTTTTTTACTGAAGTTTACATTTTTAGTCAGTGACAGCATTATCATTTTTTATTGTGCTGAACAAATAACATCCCTCACCTGCCTCACTGTGGAAATGTATATGGCAAATGCTACTCAAGTCGTTTTATATGTAAATTAAACAGAGAAGAGTTTTGGGATGCAGACAGCAATATTATAGCGGTATCAAATGATACCAGCATAAGGCATTATGACATAACTCCTGCATCTCCCTCTAGTTAAGCAATAACAAAACCATTTTAACTAGGGGTACACCGATAGAGATTTTGGGGGCCGATATTAATAGCCGATATTTAAGGAGGCATATCGGCTGATACCGATCCAATATCTGATACAGCTGCCTCCAGGTGGTAAGTCTGGTGTGGTGAAAGGGGAGGGAAGGGGCATGGGGGACCAGATCAATGCCCCCGTGGTGAGGGAGGGGATAGGCACTGCTCAGCCGGGGGGGGGGTGGCGCAGGCGGCATGCATGCACAGGACACAGAGGCACGGCTCATGGGGTGGGGGCAGCTCCTGGCACTGCTTGCGCCCTAGGAGGACAGGGACAGGCATGTGCCCCCAGATCTGGATGGCGCGGGGCAGGGGGCAACAGCAGGGCAGAGCCAGAGCCAGAACCGCGCAGGGCTCTTCTTGCCGGTGGCTGGGCTTGGAGCAGGCTCCGGCAGCACTGGGAGGAGACTGCAGCCACCCCAAATTTCACCACAGCTCCACTCCCAGCCCTGTGCCACTGCCCGGCACAGCCCCAGCTGAACATCCTGCCTCCACCCAAGCACTGGGAAAAGCTGGACTGCACCAGGTGATGGTGCAGGGCTGGCAGCGGAGCTGTGGCGAAATCTGGGGTGGCTGC